ATATATATATATATATATATATATATATTGCAAGGCATTTTCTGATGTTGAGTTTATGGTTGATGCAGTGTTATTGTCGAGGCTCTAAAAGTGGACAGCCTGCAGAAGCTTTGCTCTTCCTTGGAACCAATTCTTCGAAGAGTTGTAAGATTGTAGTCTCTCTATAAATTTGTTTTTGTTCATGGAATATCAATAACTATTATCAGCATTCATCTGTAAGGAAGAAATAGTCTAGATAATTCTATCAATTTGACTTTCACTCTTTTTTTTTGTTATCCGTTAGTTTCTCATGTTTCGACTTGCATAAATCCAAAATATCTCATGCCCAAGTGCTTACTCAGCTTTCAGTACATGATGGTTACAATCTTGTTTATTACAGATGATATTGTGATGCAATTTATGGTTCACTAACTTATAGCCTGAATTTTTTGACGGACAGGTTAGTGAAGAAGTGGAGCGTGCCTTGGCAAAACTGGGTCCTGCTAAATTAAATGGAAGGTATGACTTGACCCATTCTTAACTAAATCTCAGAAGTTCAAGGTATCTTTGTATAACTGATGCCGTTCCTTGTAATATTCAAGTAGCTTTTTGTTCCTTTTGTCATCTTACCCTTTACTTTTCAAGCTGTACTGCTGGTATTGTTTCCATCTCTACTTATCTGACAATACTTCCATGACCCCATTTTCGAGATTTCCGCAATTCTTTTTCTGTTGATAAAAGTTTTCTAATCGTATTCTGTGGATTGTATACACTTCTAATCACTACTACTTTTATTAATATTACTTAGCTTTTTCCCCGAAGGACCGGAAATTTTCTCAACATCTGAAACGAGCTTGCCTAGATGAATTCTATATTTAATTTTTCTTGTTAAATTAAATCTATGTCGCCTCCAAAGAAAGTGATCTCCACCATAAACATGCAGGGTTTCTCCAAAAAGAATTGAGGGTCGTGATGGAAGAAGTTTACAGCTTCAGTTCAGGTCCAAGCTGTCACTGCCTCTATTTACGGGTGGAAAAGTGGAAGGAGAGCAGGGTTCTGCAATCCATATTGTCTTGCTTGACGCAAATACAGGCCGTATTGTAACATCAGGTCCAGAATCCTCAGCTAAATTAGAGATTGTTGTTCTTGAAGGTGATTTCAACCACGAGCATGATGAAGACTGGACTCAAGAAATATTTGAGTCTCATATAGTAAGAGAGCGAGAAGGAAAGAGGCCACTCCTTACTGGCGACTTACAAGTGGTTTTAAAGGAAGGTGTTGGAACCCTTGGAGAGCTAACATTTACCGACAACTCTAGTTGGATTAGAAGCAGAAAATTTAGACTTGGTTTGAAAGTTACATCTGGTACCTCTGAGGCTTATCGGATCCGCGAAGCAAAGACTGATGCCTTCATAGTCAAGGATCACAGAGGAGAATGTAAGTTTATCAATTTCTTAATAGTTTTTATCCATTTCTTGGCAAATCTGACTTTCTTGTATTTTGTAGTATACAAGAAACATTATCCGCCTGCACTTAATGACGAAGTTTGGAGATTGGAAAAGATTGGGAAAGATGGGTCATTCCATAAGAGGCTTAACAAAGCGGGAATACATACAGTAGAAGACTTCTTGCGATTCGTAGTGAGGGACCCACACAAACTTAGAAATGTGAGATTATAACTTAAATCTTCCGTCAAATCCATTTCCTCCATCTGTTTATTACTTCATGTTTACAGTGGATTTCCTGTACTTATGTCAGATACTCGGAACTGGAATGTCAAATAAAATGTGGGAAGTCCTCATAGAACACTCGAAGACCTGCGCCCTGAGTGGAAAACTTTACATCTACTATCCCGACGAGCCAAGGGACGTTGGCGTCATCTTTAACAATATCTACGTGTTCAGCGGTTTGATTTCTGGTGGACAATTTCTTTCAGTTGATTCTCTTTCCGACAGTCAAAAGGTTAGTGCATGATTATTAAAAACGATTCATCTAGGAATTTAATTTACTTGGATGAAATAAGAGGAGTTATACAAATAGCTAATGTCATTTTGCATTGCAGGGATTTGTGGACACGTTGGTGAAGAAGGCATATGACAACTGGATGAATGTCCTAGAATATGATAGCAAATCTCTTCTGGGATTCGATCAGAATAAAAGCTCTCCCTTTGAGAACGATCTCAGGATACACACACAAGATCAGCTCAACTCTTTTGATCAGCTTAGTGTACCTATTCTCTCAGCTTCAATTCCTCCTCAAAATCCTTCTGTGAACCCCGGATTGACCATTGGAGGTAAGATTACACAGTTGGACGGTCAACTTGAACTAATTTCGAGATTTTTATTATATCGTGATTTTTTATTCCTGATACATGATGGACTTGGAGTTCTTAATTCTCTCATCGTTATTTTCTTCTAAATCTGCTCGCCGTTCGTTATAAAGAAAGTTGTTCCTATTTAAAAAGGCCTTTTTAGTTTCTCAATCTTCATTTTGCTTGTACGGTTAAAAACTGCTCACAATATAACGCTTAATCTTTTCTCCAGGCTATCATGACAATCTTGGAGGTCGTTATCCTATACAGCCACAAAATCCGAATCTCCATGTTGCTCTGCAGTTAGACGGCACTTCATTTCCTCATGACCAGCTGGCTCTTGGTCAACCAATCTCAACCACGGCTAGCTTCCCAACCGCCAGCACATCAAATGTTACCTCTTACAGGGGTTTCGAAGACATTCCCGAGGATGAAATCCGTGTAAGAAGTCACGAGATGCTCGAACACGAAGACATGCAACATCTACTTCGTATGTTCAGTATGGGTGGTCACACACCCTTCAGTGGAAACGAGCATAATTATTACTCGGCTTATACCCCTGCGACACCTTCAACATTCGGTTTTGGGGAGGGTCGTACGCGTTCGTCTGGAAAAGCTGTTGTTGGGTGGCTCAAACTTAAAGCAGCACTAAGGTGGGGCATTTTCATCCGGAAGAAAGCTGCTGAGAGACGAGCACAAATTGAGGAGCTTGATGATTTTTAGGTATTGCTCTCTTTTCTATCATGTTTGTGGCATGTCGAAGAGTCGTCCATGTTGTAAAACGACTTTTTTGTCCCTGTGCGATTTCGAGTCCATGGTGGTGGGTAGAAAGCCTCTCTCTGGTTGGTTGAACTGAACAAAGGGATAATCTTAACGTCGATCTTGAGTGAGTATAATAAGTAAGTTCTTATCGATTAGTGCAACTTGAAAGAAGGCCTAGCTTTCGTTCTAAAAGTAGCAGGTGTGTTTTTTGTATTTATTTACTGTTTTCTCCTCACAGGTTGTCGCGTCAGCGTCTAACATCGTAAATGATGTCTCGTTGTCTCGAATAAAAGCTGTTGTAATTTTTATAGTAGAAGTGTGCTTAGGTGATTGAGTTTAGACGGCCCAGAAATCTGGCTCCTCTTAACAAAATAATGTTGCGTGATTTTGAGTGAAATGTATATGAAATCATTTTCTTTTGCTTCCAATATTTAAAATTTCATGTCTGTATTTACTGGACGAGTTACATCCGTTTTTTCTCGATAGCAAGACGAATTCAACTCTTTTTGAACAACAATAGCATTAGGATTACAGTAGTTTGATTTGTTCCCAAAAACCAAAACATAAAATCAAAATAATAATTCCAACCACAAGACTAGAATGCAGCTGTAAATCTGGAAGAAGCTGGTCAAATAACCTGAAGAATCCCATAATATTTGTTTCTTGTCGGAGACGGAGAATCTCAAATATCGATAGGGCTATACTTAAATACAGAAATACAACTTTTTTATACGCAAACCTTGGATTCACGTATACCAGTCAGTACCAATGACAATCTCAAGACCCGAAACGACACAAAAAACGAAAAAACGAACGAATTTACTCAGTAGCAACCACAAAAACAAAACCTGAACAGAATTAATGTTCTTATTCAGCAAAAGGATAATATTACATTAGTCAATCTCCCAATTGAAAATTTGGAAACATGCCGCAAATTTCTCTTCATATTTGTTCTCGACTCAACTCAACCAGACGGTGTAGCAATCACAACGGTACGTGCAGCACAAGCTCACATAAAATCATCGTCATCATCATAACCCTGGTATGAATCCATTGCCATGTCATCGTCTGTCTTGCCAACATGCAGCTGTTTTTTCTTTCCAGCTGTAAACAAGAGAAACAATAATCAGAAAAAAAAAAACCCACTCAATTGACTCAGCATAAGTCCGGTTATAGAGTAAGTACTACATTACCTGGCTTCTTTTTGGCAGCATTAGCTTCTTTTTCTGCTTTAATCTTTTCATTCGCAATTGCAGTAATGGAAGATGCTACTTCTTTGGCATCTGCCCCTTTCAAAGTAGTCGTCGACAATCTCATTACAGCCTTCAGTAATCCAATATAGTGATAGCTTTTCTACAGTTCCCAGTAAAGAAATAAATACCCAGGTCAAAATTTTACAGATGATAAATCATTCAATAGAACAGCAAAAATGAGGCTAACACCGCAAACCTCGTACGGACGGAGTTTATGAGAAACAAGTTCCGCATATTCGGAGAAGTCACTTTCAGTTTTGGGAATAAAACTGTCGAGCGTCTTTTCATCGCCTTTCTTGGCAAATAATTCTGCAGTAGACTTATAATCGGCTTCTTCGACAAGCCTGTAGTGAAGGTTGTTCAGTACAGAAAGATATATAGAATGTCGGTTAAGTACGACAATAAACATTCTTAAAAATAATTAAAACAGCTTAAAAAAGAAGTACGACGCCCACCTCTGCTGGCGAAGTTTTTCTTCTAAAGGATCTAAAGGTGCTTCCTTCACAGCTTCAACAGCTTTCCCTTTCTTTTCAGTCGATTTTACTCCAGCCTTTTTAGGGCCTTTTTCAGAAGGTGGTGGCTGAGCTTTGGGTTCCTAAACACATCATTGGGAATTTGGGGTAAACGGATTCAATCATATATATGCGTGCGTGTATAACGCAAACCAATAGCCCACCACTGAATATCACAAATTATACGTTTCTATATACTCTGAAACAGGAAGAGAGAATCTAATAGAAAATGTATTGTAACCATTTAAAAATGAAAAAAAGAGATGGGAGAATCCACCAGGCTTAATATGCTGACATTCGAAAGACATATTTGTGCTATGGTTCAGTCTTCCACATATTTTGGAATTGGCCATGCCATTTAAATGACAGAAAACGTCGAGTGGAGGGCTGAAATAAAAATGGATCTAGCCCAACAACCCCAATCCTAGCCCAATTCTCATCCAAAGGTAAAATCGTTAAAATCCACTTGATTTGATCGGAGATTGGGCAAAAAACTCTTTTTAAAATGTGTCCATCAGCTTTGCTTTATGGTCTTACCAAATGATACGACGATGTATCAAGGGTAAGGAGCGGGAAAAGGTGGCATCCAGGATGGTGACAAATTAAATTATCAATATGTTTATATGCATCAAATATTGTAAGCAATCATATAAACACTCCTACATAAATTTTTAAACGTGATAACGGGCGGGAAAAAAGAAAAAACAACTTCGCTAAATGATGATGCAATGCAGGCAAGTAGTGGCATAAAAAATCCTAGCCCAAAAATGCACGACATCCTCAAATTACGTTGGATGAAAATAACAGAATAACAGAACTGCATCGTACCAAAGCAGGCTCTTCTTCGTCTTCCCAAGAATCCTTGATATCGTCCAAATCTTCATCATCCCATTTATTTAACGGCTGGTCCTTTTTCTTGAGAATATCTAGAACGGGCTCATCTTCTGAAACACCATACATTTGTTACAATCTAACTATATTGCAAAATAATTGAGGTACTCCCTAAATTAAGATATGGAGAGATGGATAAGGGTCTGTAAATATTATCTAGTTCGAAAACACAACACTTGTGCTGAACTGGGTTTGGATCCTCAAACCGAAAACACCAGATATCCTCAGATGTATTATAGAAGGCAAAAATAGATCGTTTTGATATAAAAATAATAATGACAGTCGTAAAAATCTGCACTAGTTCATTCTTCAAAAAATCATATCTTTAGAAAGAGAGCATGAATTCTTTTATAAATTCAATAAAACAGCTGACGCAAAGAACGGAGTCTAAACCAATCCAACATATATCCTACTAGAGAATAATTTATAGACACAATCCAATTTCAAATCCATTAAGTTTTCTGTTGGCTCAAGAACAAAAACCTAGTTATTTGCAAACTAAAGAAGCTGATCAGTGCAGCAAATATAAAAACAGATATGAAGTGAATAGATACCCCAGTCCTCCATCGAATCGCAGTTCAACTGAACTCCTCGAAAAACTTCGAATTTGGGACAGTCACTGAAATTGGATTAAAAAAAAACAAATCTGTTATTGAAATGAAATCACAACGAAGCCATTAGTTCACAATTATACACGCATCAAGGAATTAAAAGTGCATTAATAAAACAACAAAAAAAAAACATTAATCCATGAAACTCAGATACACAGTGAAAAAGTTCAGATTAACAAAATGGCGGTGCAGGAATAACAGTTTATTGGAGTGAAGAGCAAACCTATTGGTAATGAGGAAACCCTAATCGAATTTAGCGACGGAAAATGGTTCGATCGACAGCTTAAACCCTTGGCAAATCTGGATAAAGATACCAGTGTTTGTACGGCGACAATAGAGAGAGGAGAAAAGCCGATAGAATCTATTCCGATTTATTAGGGTTTATATTTTTTTAATTTCGCATTTTTTCGAACAAGGGCTTGGTTTATATGTGTGCTTTTTTTTTCTCTCTGGTAATTTCTTTTATTTCTTTATTCCAAATTTAGAATAAGAAAAATTTAAATATTTTTTTTTATATAATTATTCACATTTTTTTTTTTTGCAATTGTGTGCATGGTAAATTTCATTCATTTAGTAATCTTGCTTAAATAATAAAAATATCTCGGTGCGACCTGAATCATTATACTCGTAAAATGCATGATATAATAATTTCTTTATACGGTTGGTGCATACGTTATATTTCGTCTTTCGGCCTTCAATGTAGTTGCGGTATGAAAGAATTAACCGCGTCGAATTATGTAGTACGAAGACTTCAACGCCCTAATGTTTCCTTGTTTCGGACACTCGATAACACATGTCGGACACCTTATAGCCTAAAAAAAACGAGTCTAACCATAATTCTAATAGATCTCGCAATTTTTTTCGCGTCTAAACGGTTTATTATTTTGTTACTTGGATCGATTTGTTTGAGATAAACTTTTTATTTGCACTATGATATACATTCCTCCATTAAATACTTATCGGACCAAGGTATGGAGATTCAGGGAGCGAGGGATTTCCTTTTTTTTACAAGTTTTCTTACAAGTTTTTATTTGGTCACGCTTTTTTCTATGACGTCCCGAGATACTCTATGGGCCCGCCCGTATAAATTCAAACTGTATATTTGGCCCAACCCACTACTCTGTTTGCATTTTAGCAATTTAGCTGTTTATATATTCTCAGTTTACTTTTTAGTACCAATTTTTCAGATATTTTTTTATCAAGATTAATTTTTTAAACATTATTTAATTTTTTTTTTAATGTATAATCTATGTTTGGCTGGGGTAGAATTTGAAGGCTCCTTTGTTTGCACATGGGAATAAAGTGCTAATTTGTGAAGCCCAATGAATATGATCCCCACGTGACAGGCCATATCATTACTCTCTTTAGTCAAAATTCATTACAGGGGACAATTTTCCCAAACAATCCCTTAAAAAATTCAACCCTTGCATTTTATTTTCCCTTCATTCTTATTATAATTTGATTAAATGTTTTCTTTTAAATAAAATTCATCGTATATCATGATTATCATGATTATTACCCACACCTTCTCCTTCAAATAGAAAATTCAGATCCCCATGATTGTACCAACTAAAATAATTAGTCACACTGTTAATACTAATTAATACTCATTAATACAACATTACAAATATAATCTACTTCCATCTTCTTCCCAAACACACCACTAAAAGCAAAAGCAGAGCAAAAAAGCTGTCTCCACAGTTAAAACACATGCAGTTCTGCTATACTAGATTTCCCTAAACTCAAGTAAGCCAAAAATAAAAATATTATATGTGGCAAAATTAATTTGTTTCAAGTTCTAGTTTCTGTCATTTTATGACAATAGTGTACAATTAAAAGAAGAAGAAAAAAACATGGGATATTGTTATATGAGTCATATATATGACTAAGACTTGAAGAAGCTGGTATTAAAAAAAAAATATTGTCATTTTTTTAATTATTTATAATGGTGTCTGCGAATTCGACGGCAACTCGTAGCTCACTGGAGCTAATGCTGGATAAACTACAGCTAGTGGATGATCAGCCAAGTGAGAATATTCCACCAGCATTGCCCGTTAGGCCCGTTTCGCGGGCCCGGTTGCCACGGGCCACAAAGTCTTTAATGCAGCTTGATCATCTTCAGATGAAGGTAAGTAGTTGAAACTAGTGTCACTTCTTTTCTTTTATTTGAAAATCTGAATAGCCAATTTTTCACAGAGAGAATTAGTCGAAAATTCGAAACGATTAGTAGCAGAAAAGGGAATATCCAACATCCAGAAATGCTACCGCGGTCACCGAATTCGCTGCGGTTACAAGGAGCTTACAAGAGGAGCAATTGCTCTGCAATCATGTAATAATTAATTAATCCAATATTATTAATGCTCGAAATTCGTTTATGTTGTAATTAGTACGTGTGTTATATCAAATTGTTTAAAAAACTCCTCGTGTTGTGAATATTAGCAAAAAAATCCCTATAATGCATTTCTTTTAGCACGCGACACCCTGAATGATGCGTTCTTAGGGGTAGTTTGGTAATAACATGAGGAGATTTTTGACAATTACTAAATGCAATAAATTAACCCCCCATATCACTTGTAATTACTTGATATATTGTTAGGTTTTGTGCAGATATACGCGGTGAAAATGCACGGATACAGAATCGGAGTCCATGTAATGAAACCACACACGAGCATCCATCGAGCGAAATATCAGCAGACACAAAGGTCTACTAGCTATAACATCTCTTAGTACTCTTGCTAGTAATTAATTACTATATGGTTATTAACAAAGTTGACGATCGAAACCAGGTGACATATAGTTTTCTAGTTGATCTTCGAACGCGAGTTTTGAGGACAGAGGCGAAAGTAAGGGGAAAGCAAGAGGAAAATAATGCTCTTAAGATACAGCTCGAAGAATTGGATAAGAAACGGCAAAAATACGAGGAAAGAATGAAATCCAAAGAGAAGGAATGGCAAGATCAGTTTACATACATACAAGTGTGTCTTTTTTTTTTCTTTTTTTTTATAATTCAATATAAATTTAAGAATAAAAAATAAAATAAAAGGTTATGTTGTTTTGAATATATTGTGCAGGAATGTCTAGCTGAAGCAGCTAAGGCGAAGAATCGAGATCCGGAAATAAGAAACGATGATCGAAACATGGATGCAAATACTATGAGGAGCATGGATTATAATGAACTGAAGCTTAGATTTAAAGAATGGAAGAAAGAGTATAAAATAAAGTTAAGGGAAATAAATTCAATATTCAAGAAGATTGGTAATTCAGAAACTGGGAAAAGCCAACACATGAAGTGGTGGGGGAGATTATCAAGCTGATGTGATAAGCTTCGTTCGGAGAATTATGACGAGTCGAGCCCGAACTCACTCTTTGTGGTTCGTGAGCTCGCGAGTGGGCTCGTGATCTTTTTTTTTTTTTTTTAATTAATTAATATAAAATTAAGTAATAAATTCATATAAATAATTAAAAAAATATATTGCAGGTCCTTGTTTTTATTTAGAATTTTGTATTATAATTTATAATAATATTAATAATTTTTTTTTTATAGAATTAAAACAATACACAAAATGGCTCATGCTCGATCTTGAGCCCAAAAAAAATTACTCAAAGAGTTCGAGCTCGCCAAATCCTATTTTTGAGATGAAATTTAATGATTTGCAAAAAAAAAAAAAAGAAAAAAAAAAAAAAAGAGTTTCGTTATCCGTGGAATCAAATATTAATAAAATCACGATTTTTATTTTTAAATTCAAATTGAACAAATAAGATACGATTCTTTTTTTCTTCATATTTTATGAGGAATAATTGTATTTTTTATAAACAAGAAATAAAGAGACTCATATAATCAAAACTGTTAAAAATATAATTAATAAATTAATCTCACCACATTAGATTTATGATTCTTTTAGTACGAATATTTTAAACCAAGTTTTGACTGGCTGTGGTCTATTGTTCTCGACAAATCTACACAAACCACATAATCGCACACAGTTCACCCATTTCTTCACAGACTTTGCACGAGGTTTAAGAGATTTAGGGTTTGGAATTGTATCCCGGAGAAACATCAATTCACAAGTAAGTTTTTTTTTCTAATTTCAATTCAATTTCTCTGCAACAATTCTGTGTTTCTTCTATCCGAAAATGCCCATATTTCGATACCAATGTGAACTATCCAAACCCGAAGCGCATGATCCGATTGTCCAAAATTTTATTTGATTATTATATTTTCTGTGTGTGATCAATTGGGGAAGAGCGTTGTTTTTCTTTGATGTAATGGCCGTTAGCTGTAATTTATTATTATTATTATTATTATTGTTATTACAAGTTTCCTTACTGAATTACCGAGGATTACAAAACATTTTTTTGTAATATTTGTTTTTAACTTTCTTGTGATCATTAACTAAACTATGTGAGTGTGTGCAAACCAAGAGCTCTCTGTCTGTCTATTTTTTTAACTATTTTTGGGCTGTTTGATTCAGTATGTAAAACCACTACTGATGTATTTATTTTGTAATTTCCTTACGATTATTTGAAACGATCGATAATTTATTCGTAGTCGTCTTTAAATTCAATTATTGTACTATTGGTGGACTCGTCAAGAAATCGGGCTGAAGTAGCAAATGTCAAAATTTATGCTTTGAGTTAATTACGTTTCCGGAATTCAAACGCATCGTGTAAATCCATCACTGCAGGATATATATTTTTTCCGTTCACAACGTGTTTGACGGAATCACAATCTTTGACCTTGACGATATGTCGATGGCGAAGCCTCTTAGCAAGCTTATGTCATGCGTCATCCTCGATTTGGACGGAACACTTATTAATACAGGTGAGTTTATGTTTTTCTTCTGCAATTAATCATTTATTTAAACGGCAATTATATGTGTTATAGCTATTGTTTTCCAAATTGATGTGGGTGTTAAAATCAAATAGCTCGACTAATTTTTTCTTCCCTGAATCGTACTGCCTTGAATCTCGCAATAAACATTATTAGCCATTTACTTTCATTTCGAACTTGTGCTGACAATTAGCCTTAAATCAAATTTATTTATATATGTCAGATGGCATTGTGTGCGATGTTCTAAGAGTTCACTTGGTTAAGTTCGGAAAAAAATGGGACGGGAAAAGAGCTCACAGAATCGTCGGAAAGACACCCTATGAAGCGGCAGCAGCTATTGTCGAAGATTACGAACTCCCAGTCACCGCAGATGAATTCCTATCGGAACTTACTCCGATATTCTCCAAAAAGTAATATTACTCGTATGCTTGCGTTTATCTTCTTTACAATATTAATGCCGTGCAAATTTCTCATTACCGTATCCCGATATTTTATTGCAGATGGGGTAGTATCAAAGCTCAACCCGGCGCTAACCGGTTAATCAACCATTTACGGAGTCACGGTGTGCCAATTGCCTTAGCTTCAAATTCTTCCAAGGAAAATATCGAGACCAAGATATCTTTTCATCGAGGTACTTACTTATGCGTCGTATTCTCAGCTAAATAATTAAATTCGTTATTTTTACATGACATAAGTGTTTGCGTATTTTTGCTTGTGTTGTAGGTTGGAAAGAATCGTTTTCCGTTATTCTAGGCGGCGATGAAGTGACCAACGGAAAGCCATCTCCCGAAATGTAAGCCAATATATAATAAGTTAAAAACCCGATCGTTTTATTTCTAATGTTATATGTGTCATTGCTTGATACTCTTTTGTTGCGTCACAATTTGAAGATATCTCGAAGCTGCAAAGAGGCTTAAGATGGAAACTTCCACCTGTCTCGTCATTGAAGATTCTTTGTAAGTGGCATTTTCCGATCTTAATCCAAATACATTAAAAATGTCGCTTTATTTATTTATTTATTTTATTTTAATACTATAGGCCAGGTGTCACTGCTGGTAAGGCGGCTGGAATGGAAGTGGTTGCTGTTCCATCTCTTCCCAAACAAACCGATGTTTTCACCTCGGCAGACGAGGTTATCAACTCCCTATTAGACCTGAAACTAGAAAAGTGGGGCCTACCTGCATTCGAAGACTGTAAGAACAAACTACTTTGTGTTTTTTGCTAACACTGTATATAATATTATCCTGTTAATTTTATTCAACTATTTGCTGCAGGGGTAGAAGGGACATTACCAATAGAACCTTGGTCCATTGGCGGTCCAGTCATCAAAGGCTTTGGCCGTGGCTCGAAAGTGCTCGGAATCCCTACAGGTTTCTTACGTGGCACAATCCATTATTCTTCGTTCATTCTATGTTATA